ATATATATAATATAATTTTAGCAACTCACTTCTCTAACCTAACAACTTAAAAGATTTTGCTAAATAAGTTTCACAAATAATCTTATATTCTTCCATTTTATTTTTATTTCATAAAAGTACATGCAAATAGCACTCACCATTTTTAAAAACTTGTTGTTTGAGGTGTGATTATATGAGGACACATTATTCAAAGTGTTTATAAACACAGGCTTCAGTTTGAAAATCTTATTAAGCATTTATGTTTTTAATAACAAAAAAATATAGTAAAATAAGATCATATGTTAGGACTAAGGAGTGCCCTTATATTATCTGCTAAAGTAACAATTTATTTGTATTAATTTTGTAAAAAAAAATAATTATTTGTATTGTTCATTATTATTTTTTTATTGATATATTTTATAAACCTAATAAAATTAATGATAAATATGCACCTCCTTTGGACTCAAATATAAGTAAAATTAACTGCTTTATGTACTAATTAACAAAGTTAATTAATATCTGTTTAGGGTTTAGCATTTAGGGTACTCTAAAATAAAATTTAAAAAAATCAGGTTCTCAACTAACTTCTTTTTCTGTTAGTTGGCTCCTAAAACTGTTATGAATTTGGTTTGATCTTGGGTTCTCTTGTATTATGTATATATTTTTTTTCTTATTTTTCTCTCTTGTATGTAATATAAATACAAGTCAAATTGGTGAGTGAGTGGGTGATTAACAAGTACGGTTGAAAGTTACAAGGAGTAGTAGAACAAGGTGAAAGTTCTTGTGAGACTTGTAACTTCTATTGCTTGAAGATCATAGTGAAATGATGTTGCTCTTTCCGTGGATGTATGCCTCAAGGTTGAACCACGTAAAGTTTGGTGTTCTTTTTTTTTTTTTCTCTCATCTTTAATTTCTGCATTCTATAATATTCTTGCATCCATGTACATATGTGTGCACCAGTATTTTGTTGTTTGTATGTTTTAATTTTCTTCTTAAATATTAGAAGCTTAAGGACTAACAATATATTTTAATATTTTTAATTTTAATTAAAAATAAACTTTTGTCCTATATTGACCTCTAAGCAAACTTGATATTAAAAAATAGTTATTGAAAATAAAAAATTTTCATTTCAGCTTAAACATTTTTAGTGTAAAGTAAATATCATAAAGTCAAACATTTTTTAAAACATGATAATTTATTATTAGATAAAAATTTACTCAACCAACATATTCAAATTAAATTCTTCTTTCTATTTGATATAGTTATGAGATATACTCTTGTCTTCTAACAACCAAAGACTAATTACCTTGAAATATAAATATCAAAGAAAAAATTACTTTTTCTAACAAGATTTTTTTCCTATATAAAATTATTTAATTTTCCTTTTATTTTAAGAATTTTTAAAACCGTTATATATATATATATAATTAACTATAGTTTAGTAATAAAAACCATATAAATACAAAATACCACTTAAATGTGACCTAGTTGAAACTTCAAACAAAAGAAAAATTCCAAAACGGAAAACATTCCTTGTGTCGCACGCCAAATAATTTTTACTAAACAAACAATATATACACATCGTATTTATGTTACCGAGAATCCGAGGTCAACACCTCGGCAGCAATCCACCACACAGACGCGCACCATATGCTCACGTGCCTATCCACATGGACTCTACAAATCCAATCGAGAGCTCCAACGTGGCATTCAAGCAAAGGATCATGCCGCATAATATAATGACCCGAGTCAAGGCGCCAACGCCAACTGCACACTCTCTCAAATTTTCACCATATTATAAAAAAAAGTTTTTGGACCAATTCTAGCGTCGGTTTATGTTTTTGTTTTTAATGTAAGTCGTTGGATATTTTAATTCTATTACTAGATCTTTTCTTTTATTTTTTCTCACTCCTTCTCTTCATCCCACCACTACCATGCTCCCTTTTCAGCCAACAACATGCTTTCCTTTCCTCTCCACATTTCATTAGAGTTGTTCTTTCTTCTTTTTTTTAAGCCTCCACCACTCTTTTAATATTGCTTATTCCGTCATTTTTCCTAAACTCCCTTTCAACGATTTTCACCTTCTTTTTTATTTATTTATTTATTAATATTCATTATTTTCATAATATCATGAGATATAATTAAAATCTTAAATCATTAAAACAAAAGAAGAAATAAAAATTTATAACACATATTCTAAGTGATTATTTGATGAACAAGTTTTACAAATTGTTCACTAGTGAACAAATGAACAATAACTCTTTGTATTTTTTATTTTTATTTAAATTATTTAAAATTATTAAAAATTTAATTTATAATTGGATCTTCTTTCATTGTTGACGTAATAAGGTTGGTTCTTCTATGTCATTATGACCTTCGAGACCACTGTCATCTTCTCCCTTATCAAGTTCTTAGGTTTCATCTACATCATTGGCTTCATTGGCATTGACTTCGTCCAGTCCTTTATTTCACACAACTCCATGGAAGTTTGGGAACTCAATAATGTCATTCCAAACCTTTCCCTCCCTAAACCAACCCCTTTCTTGAACCCTCGATTGTCTCTGAGGGAGATGAAGACATTGTGGCCTCCATCGTTGACGACACAATGTTGTCGTACACACTAGAGTCGTGACCAAGGGACTAATGGCAGGCCATGGTGGGGTGGCGGGCTAAAGTGCTACGGATGATAAGGCAATCGTTAGAGGGATTTGACTACAAGACAATTTTGGGACAATACTACTAATTGTTGTTAGGGTACATGCAAATTCTAGAGTGGGTGGTAGGGTTGTTGTTGTTGGATGAGTTTTAGTACACGCTACTAAAGCCCACCACGAAGGTTGGCGGAAGAGGTGCAACGACTTGAAAAATTCAACAAAAAAAATTATAAAGATCAAAAGCTGGAGACATTTCTGATAAAGATCAATAATCTTAATGGTTCAAAAGTTTTGAATCTATCCGATAAAAATATAAATAAAAGAGAAATAACATGAGATACATCGCTTAATCTACTATTGTGATGGCACCGACAACAAATGGTGCACATACAAAGAAATCAAAGAAGAAGAATAAGAAAAAGGAAGAACAAGTTAGGCCATGTATCTGGTCAAATGTGGACAAAGAAGATGAACAAAGACGATGAGAATGTGAGAAGAACATAAGGTAAAAAGGACAATTAATATTATTGTACAAATTAATTTAAAAATTTAAATGATAAGTTTCAACCATTCATTTAATTATTCATAATGATATTTTTTCTTCTCCACTAGTGAACCGCATAAAAATCACATTTTATTTTGTTGGTGCACCCATGAACCACATGATATTTGTGTCCATCGTAAATTTCCTCTATATTCTATTAGTAAGAAGTCTTTTAGGTGATGATCAAAAGTAAAATACGAAGATTTAAAATCAAAGTGGACAATATCATACTAACGTGAAAATGTGTGTGAAATACTCAATAAACAACAATGTATAATACACATATTGATTTTTATATATACATACATATATATGTATATCCTTTTCAAACAAGTAAAAAAAATAACCTTATCACAACAAGCATGAAGAAGAACAATATACATTCAAGCTCTTCCATTTTGGATTTCTTGCCTTTTTTCTCAG